TGAAAGATTATCTGATTCACCCACAAGCAGTTGCCAGAAAATAATAAAGAGCATTTATATATAAGATGAGCTTCAGTACAGATGGTAAAAATCTATAGTCTATGATTAACTCTTACCTCCTGCTTTAGCTTTCATAACAATTTGGCCATTGAGAATCACTGCTCAGTTGATCTTCCTCAAGAGTTGACATTGTTTTCCCCTTTTTTAGTTGGTCTGTGATATATACATCTTATTCTCCTTTGCCTTCTCCTCCTTCCTGTGGCCACCCAGAGGCAGGGTGTGAATGTACACCGAGTGAACAAATGGTAGATCCTGCTTCCTGTCAGAAAGCAAGACAGCTCTCACCGTCTACCTCTGAGCTACAAAATGTGACTTTGTTCTCAATGAATGTTAATCTTATTACTGCTATTTCTCATGATGATGCCCATTCATATTCTTCTACATTTTTGTGATCATACAACTGTTTTCAAAAGAGCCTCACAACTCTTTTAAACCATCTCTACTTACCCTAGCCGTTTGGCTCAATGGCTAGATAGAGCGTCAGCCTGCAGACCAAAGGGTCCTGGGTTTGATTCCAGTCAATGGCACGTACCTCAGTTGCAGATTCCTCCCCAGCCTGGGTCCTGGTCAGGGCACATGCAGGAGCCAACCAATTGATGTGTTTCTCTCACATTGGTATTTCTCTCCATCCCTCTTTCTTCCACTCTCTCTAAAAACCAATGGAAAAATATCCTTGGGTGAGGATTAAAAAAAAATAATAAAACAAAAAATAAATAAATCATTTCTCCTGAAACAACTTTATTCATAGGATTGCCCTCCTATTTGCTTTCATCTTTTTGATGTCTGCTTTCCTAAACTATAGAGTACATATCTCTTCTAAGAATTTGCCCCCAGAATTAGAGAATTTATCCTTACAAATGTATTTTCTGTGCTATATCTGAAATTCATTAGTTTGTTGTTTGTTGTTGGTTTTGTTGTTTTGTTTTCTGCATGAATCCTGTCACACAGGTTCACCTTTGGGCAGCTTTTACTGAATGTCACAGGAGGAAGTGCACTTATTTTTTTCTAGGACTATATTTTAAATAAACTCTTTTTTTTAGTGTGGTGTGGCTAAAGAGAGAAGGAAAAAATTATTCTTTCTTATTTTCTTATTTCTTTGTTGTCATTGTTACTGGAACTAGGCAACAGTGAGTGATTTTAGAAGATGAGGACTCGTTCCTTGATTTTTCTCCTTTGGAATTAAGATGCCCACTCTCCCAGTACTGCGTTAAGGAGGAAACACTCAGTTGCCATCACTAGTAGAACTAAATCCCATCCTTCTTTGTTCCCATTTGAGTTTCCTCAGATCTGACTGCTTCCTCTGTACTGTAGGTACTAATCTCAAAATAGCTTTGCCCAATCTTTGCCGTTTTTACATCTCTGTGTTTTAACTGTGGAGCCCTTTTCTCACATCCACCAAACAAAAGAGATGTTGCTACGGACGCCTGCTCAGGACACAAGGGCCACGCCTGTCACTCTTTCTCTCTGACCTTTCAGCCATCTCCATGAAGTAAAAGACAGACGGTCACAACCGATCTTATTCTAGGAATGTGAAGAGAAGCAACAGATTTGGTTACTGTCTAGCCTCAGAGCCTGGGGAGCTGGAGGCCTTCATTCAGTCATTCAGGCAGCATATATCTATTGAGGCTGCTTCATGCCAGGGCACTGTGTCAAGTAACATAGATCTTATAATTGTCTTGGCTAATTTATGTCTTTTCATTTCCATATAAATTTAGGATAAGCTTGTCCATATCTATAAAAAGAGCTTACTAGAATTTTTATTTGGTTTGTGCAGAATCTATAACTCAATTTCAGAAAACCTAATATCTTAACAGTATGGAAACTTCTAATCCGTGAACATTGTACATCTTTCCACTTATTCAAGTTGTCTTTCATTGTAACTATAGATGTCTTGCAGAGCTTTTGTCACATTTATTTCTAAGTATTCGATGCTTTTGATGCTATCACAAACAGCATTTTTAAATGTTATTTTTCCAGTTGTTAGTTGCTAACATTCAAAAATATTGATTTCAAGGAAATATTATATCCTGTGATCTTTCAAAATTTACTTATTAGTTCTAGTTAACTTTGGATTTCTTGTGTGCACTATCATATTATCTGTGAATAAAAATAACTACTTCTTTTTAATCTTTAAGTTCCTTTTTTCTTTTTCTTATTTTTCTTTATTATAATAACAGGGATCTTCAAAATGTTGAATAGAAGAAGTGAGACTTTTCAAATCTCAGGCTGAAAACATTTAATATTTGACCATTAATTATAATATAATACTTTTTTCCTTTAAAACTTTATCAAATCTATTCCCAGATTGCTGGGAAATTTTTTATATCGTGAATTTTTATCCATGCTTTCTTTATATCATGTAGTTTATCTTCTTTATTCTGTTAATGTAGTAAATTGCATTGATGGATTTATGAATGTTAAATCAACTTTGCTTTTTTTTAATGGAAAATACCACTTGGTCAGGATATCTTTTTTGTATATTGCTGCATTTGATTTGCTAACAATTTGTAAAGGTTTTTTACATCTTTGTTGCGAGATGTAGTCCATAGTTGTCTTATGTGAGTTCCTATGGGCAAATACAACCTTTCACAATTGGATCCCAAGACCCTCCCCTGAGACCAATAAATCTGTAGAAAAGGTGTTCTACAGATTGTCCTTGACACAAGTCAGAAGACCTAGGCTGGAAACCCATATTCATTCATTAATCTAAATTATTTTACATGTTCATTAATTTACTTATCCAACAGGTATTTTTTGCATTCTAACCATATGCCAGGTACGGTGCTACTTATTTGGAGGTTTTGCTTCTCCATCTCCAGCCACTCCTTCTTAATCTTCTTTGCAAATTCTTCCTCATGTCTCCAACCTCCAAACATTGGAGGGCCACAAAATATAGTCCTTAAACCTCTTTTCTTGCTCATCTGATTATCCAATCTTGTGACTGTCAGCCCCATCTATAAATTAATAACTCTGTAAATTCTCTACCCTGAGCCCCTCCCTTGACTTCTAGCCTGATATATATTCTGCTGCCTTCATACATTACCACTGGCATCTAATAGGCATCTCAAACTTAGCATGTGTAAAATTGAGCTAATGACCCCCCCCCCCCCCCCCCCCCCCCACCCCACCCCAACAACACACCACCCCCCCCCCCCCCCCCCCCCCCCCCCCCCCCACCCCACCCCCCCCCCAGCCCAC